CCTGTTACAAAAATCAATGCTGTGTACACGTCCACTGATAGGAGACGCGGAAGGTATTAAACTGATAAAAATAGTACTAAACACACCACTCCTATTTGGTGTCACATTAGCTTGACAGCGCAGTGCCCCAAATTTGCAGTAAGAGGACCGACCAAGCCTCTTCTTCCATCTCCCTGTTACAAAAATCAATGCCGTGTACACGCCCACTGATAGGAGACGCGGAAGGTATTAAACTGATCAGAACAATACTAAACACACCACTCCTTTTTTTTGGTGAGGTTTTACAGGACAGAGTGCTTCTCCACGGGACATGTTAACTCACGGGCAGCTGGCTCATCAAGGAACCAGAGCAGCTTTCCATGTATAGGTAAGACACGTGCAGCCGGTAAGGGTTCAGGCTCTTCTTCCTGGAGGATACGCTGCAAGCCTGTTGAACGAGGTGACCTTGCTCGGGTCCCAGGTGTACAGTTCCTAAAATGGCTGCCATATACACGCCCAATTGGATAGGAGAGACGCCGTGAAGGTATTAAACTGATAAAAAATAGTACTCAAACACACTACCCTATCTGGTGTCACATTAGCTTGACCGCCGCAGTGCCCCAAATTTAATGTGATCTGTGAGTAAGGTAAACGGTTGTCCATACAAGTAGGTTGCAGCTTTTGAGGGGTCTCACACCACCGCCATGCACTCCTTTTCAATGGCAGTGAATATACTTCATTGTGCAGTTTACGCTTAGATAAAATCACGCTATGTACACGCCCACTGATAGGAGACGTGGAAGGTATTAAACTTCTGATCAGAACAATACTAAACACAATTCACTCCTTTTTGGTGAGGCTTTACAGGACAGAGTGCTTCTCCACGGACATGTTAACTACCGGGCAGCTGGCCTATCATGAACCACAGCAGCTTTCCATGTACAGGTAAGACACGCAGCCGGTAAGGGTTCAGGCTCTTCTTCCTGGAGGATACACTGCAAGCCTGTTGAACGAGGTGACCTTGCTCGGGTCCCAGGTGTAAGGTTCCTAAAATGGCTGCCATATACACGTCCACTGATAGGAGACGCGGAAGGTATTAAACTGATCAGAACAATACTAAACACACCACAAATAAGGTTTTTCTCCTGTATGGCTCCTCAAATGATGCTTAAGATTAGAAGCGGCTGAAAAGCATTTCTCACACTCCGAACAAAAATATATTTTTTTTAACATTCTCTCCACTTTGAACGAAATGACGTTTGGGAAGAGATTAACATAATTAAACACAGGCAGTAAAAATACAGTTTTTAGCCATACCCTGTAACTTAAAAACTACACATCCCATCTTCATAATTACATATTTGGAATCAGCACACTTAAAACATAAACATAACCAAAAATCAGCTAAATCCATCCAGGGGTTAAAAAGTTAGCTGGAGGTCCCTTTATGACCGACCGCAAGCACATTTTCCTGCCCAAAACAGTTCCATAGATTTGGGCTGTGAGGTCGGTCTATTTCCCCAGGTTGAAATCCACTCAAGTCCCATCGCCGAATGGGACTTAGTCTCTGCAGCTGAAATAAGGTTGAAAAGACTAAGTCCCATCACTAATGGGACTTAGTCTCTGCAGCTGAAATAAGGCTGAAAAAACGGCTGAAAAAAAGACTAAGTCCCATCGCCGAATGGGACTTAGTCTCTGCAGCTGAAATAAGGCTGAAAAAAACGGCTGAAAAAAAGACTAAGTCCCATCGCCGAATGGGACTTAGTCTCTGCAGCTGAAATAATTTCCCATTTACTGAACCAAGTGGGAAATAGCAAGGCAGGCACAAAGGGTTTGCACCAGGTCTGGGGACACAGGGGACACCGTCTTAAAGGGGCCGTGTCCCCAACAAGTCTGGGGACACGGCCTTAAAGGGGCAGTGTCCCAATCTTCCTGATGTCCCAAAAAAGGTGTTTAAAGGGCCAGCACCAGTCACATAAAGAGTCCATAAGCCCCAATATGCCCACCGACAGTCTTAAAGGGCCATACACACCAAATAAAAGTGCATACATTTTCACAATCTCCCAGGGGCCATAGTCATGCGGGAGGAGGCTGGCAAATAGGCTTCTCCACAACCCAGGGAAGCAGGGCAATTTGCCATTTAAAGGGCCCGTTACAAATAGCAGTTTGTAACAAGGTGTCAATCCATATCTGCCAAGTGACCCGATGTAGGGGGACCAGTCCCTATTCTGCTCTGTGTCAGTGTGTATCAGGGAACCTTAGGACAGGTGTCAATCCATATCTGCCAAGTGACCCGATGTAGGGGGAACAGTCCCTATTCTGCTCTGTGTCAGTGTGTATCAGGGATCCTTAGGACAGGTGTCAATCCATATCTGCCAAGTGACCCTATGTAGGGGGACCAGTCTCTATTCTGCTCTGTGTCCGTGTGCATCAGGGGCTCTGAGGACAGGTGTCAATCCATATGTCAAGGTGTCAATATGTCATATGTCAGGTGTCAATCCATATTGATTGTGATTTAGGAATGTTAGGTGATTTCTGCCCTTTATGGATTAAAACCAGACTCTGTATCAACTGTGTAATTTTCCATGGGAGTTTTGCCATGGATCCCCCTCCGGCATGCCACAGTCCAGGTGTTAGTCCCCTTGAAACAACTTTTCCATCCCTATTGTGGCCAGAAAGAGTCCCTGTGTGTTTTAAAATTCGCCTCCCCATTGAAGTCAATGGCGTTTCGGGCGGTTCGCCGGTTCGCGAACATTTGCGGAAGTTCGCGTTCGCCGTTCGCGAACCGAAAATTTCGGGTTCGTGACATCACTACTTGTAGACTTCATTACTGTGATATTTTACCCAAAAGGTATCAAAACGTTCAAGTTTATTTGCCTAATATAAGAGAGGCAATCGTGTAACACATTAATCACATTAATAAATCTAAAACCCCGCCAACTTGGCTTCTTACTTGAATGTGTATAAGGCACTTTTATAAGTCACACCCGACATGGCTTATCCAATAATATTCAACAAATAACAACACCAAAATCAAGCTGACATGCTAATACTTATTACTTGATTACCAGCTTTGCTGACCGACCGGGGGTATTCCTGCTACCTTATTCAAAAGTCTAAATACTAAATACTCATAATTGTTTTAGCATTCCATTCTTTCCAAACCTCCCTACTAAAATCGTATGAGGATATGGATTTTCTAGCTGCTACTTCATACCTGCCTACTTGTGAAATATAATTTGTGAGTTCTAACATCACATAGTTACATAGTTACATAGCTGAAAAGAGACTTGCTTCCATCAAGTTCAGACTTCCTCACATATGTTTTTGCGATTGATCCAAAATAAGGAAATAAACCCAGTCTGAAGCACTTCCAATTTTGCATCAAACAATGAAAAATCCCTTCTTGAACCCAAAATGGCAGTCAGATATCTCTTTGAATCAAGCAGCTATTACCCCGCTAATTAGAAATTATATCCCTGTATGTTATGTTTTTCGAAATATTTATATAATTGCTGTTTAAACATCTCTATGGACTCTGATAAAACCCACCTCTTCAGGCAGAGAATTCCATATCCTTATTGTAAAAAAAAACCTTTTCCTTAGATGAAATCTCCTTTCTTCCAGCCTAAATGTGTGACATTGTGTCCTATGTATAACCCCGTTTATGAATAGATTTCCAGCTAATGGTTTGTACCAGCCTGAATATATTTGTAGAATGTTATCATATCCCCTCTGAGGCGCCGTTTTTCCAAACTAAAGTTATTTACATTTTTTGACTATAGAAAGGGTTTTAGTTTTCAACCAATTTTTAGCTATTAATGATAAGGCAGCTATGAGAATGTGGAACATCAAATATCTAATAGGTTTAGAATACTGCTCTTTAAAAAATACTGGTCGACATAGGCTTTTTGACAGGAATCGATTGTACACAGAATTTCTCGAAGTCGGTCAGTTGATGCTCGTTTACAGAAATTAAATCTATCACAAGATATGCATGAGTATTGCACCAAGATCTAATCTGCAAACATAAAAAAAGTGCTGCGCTCGGCAGTGTATATAATCGTTCCAATTGTGAAGATGTTAATATTTTACCTTCATAATAAAACATATGTGAATACAAGATCCCACAACGGTTCCATAACCTATAATCAAAATCCGGTATTAGAACCCATAGTGCCCTGATAGGTGTAACTAGAGAGATAGGGGGGCAACTGCACAAAGCATGCTATTGTAGTAGGTAATGTATTAATAAACTGTGGTCTGTGTAATGGTGTCAGCCACATTATATCTGAATTGTGCATTCCAAGTGTGTAATGTTTTTCAATTGTCACCCACTGCGGTAGATGTTGTTGTTGAGGGGCAGACACTAAACTATTCAAGAGTGCCGCTTTATAATGCAAACGGATGTTTGTAAGGCTCCTACCGCCTTTTTCAATGGGCAAATATAGTGTAGTCAGTGCAATCCTAGACCTTTTGCCTTACCAAACAAAGGAGTTTATATTTTGTTGAAATAAGTGAAAATAAGATTGTGGAATAATAATGGGAACTGTTCAAAATAAATATTGCAATTTTTGTACTATGATCATTTTGACCATGCCTATTCATCCAGACAAAGATATAAATGTTTTATGCCAATTATGTAATATGGTATAAATTTCTTTACTAAGTTTCACATAGTTTTTGGTAAGGAAGCTGTACTCCCCAAAAAGTCAGGTGGTCAGTTCTCCATTCATATTTATATTGATTTTGATTTTTAACAAAGTTAAATTTAACTTTGTTAAAAAAGTGAACTTTAAAGCAACCGTTTAGTAGATAGCTCCCTAATGGTACCTTTATGTGAGATTACCATTTTAAGGATACCAAAATTAGAAAGCTATCTGCCAAACAGTTGAAAGTTCAAAATTAAGGGGAAAATAGCCCTTTTCCTAATTTTAATGTTTTAGTTGACTAATAGAGAAGTTCCCAATTTGCTATGCATATGAAAATAAATGGATACCAATACTTGTGAATTTCAAAATTCATCCAAATTTAGATGAAATGTGTTTGCTGAATGAAACAAATACAAATGTGTAGTGCAGGGGTGCCAAAATGGTAGATCCCAGACGGTGTAAAACTACAACTCTCATGATAATTTGCATGCCTTTATAACAGCATAAAGAAAGCTGCAGTTTTAATCTGGGGATCTACCGTTTGGGCACCCCTGGTCTAGTGGGAGTGGGTGACTGAATGGGGTGTCACTTTTAATTATAGAACTAAATGTATTTATTCTGATTAGAACACCTTTTTATAAAGAGTACACTTGTAAAAAAATATTGTCCACGCTTTACTAATTTGCTTTGGTATTTATTTATTTTTCATTTAGTTTTCTATATTTTCTTTTAACATTTCCTTAAAAAAATACAACATTAATTTGAAATGTTTTTTTATTGCAACCCTTTTGCAGACAACCCAATAAAATCAGCTGTGATTGAGGAAGTCATTCCTTTTGTTGAAGGAGGAACTGTAATTCAAGCAACAGCCCTGAATGAAAAGCTGTCTAAGACTTATAAAGATATGGATGTGGACGACTATGTAAAATGGGCTGGAACTATAGTAGATGCACCAGTCATTATAAAATCCAAGGTACAATTTTAAATATTTTTTGCACATCCCAAGAAAATACAGACCATAGATATGATAGTCAGGTTCAATAAAAATTATTTTCTGATTATCTATGAAATATTGCAAGATAAAAACTTTTCATACTCCAATAGTTTCTATACAGGATAAACAAAAAAGTGAAAAATAAACAAAATTGCTTTTTACCAAAAGATAAATGTTAATTTTTTTATACTAATAATAATTATTGATTTCTGTAGCCGAGCACTAGTTTAACATAGGTTTTCCTCCGCTGGTATTCCAACAGCTACTCAGGAACAAGCAGGATATTATAAGAAGCACAGCATAAGTAGTAAATAAATCCACAAATCTCCCATCGCCCTTCCCAATAACTGGACGACACTCAGTATCAGATGCAGAACAAATTTTTAATGCCACGCACTATGCTTTTATGCAATTCTCCCATGCAAGGGAGACACCCACAGAAAATTAGGAATTATCCAATCACTAGCTGGTTACAGTACACATATTCCCTCCCCTCAACCTGAGAGATAACTTAATTATCTGTACATTTTAAACACACATTTTTCCCCAATTCTTAGATGTACCCCAAAACTATAACCTACACGCATAATTCACATATCCCCTGATATCCCCGATCTGGGTGAGCAACATACTGAAAAATCACCCACAGGGGTTCATGAATTTCCTGGAGGTCTTAGTTTTACCGACTGCACACGAGGTGTATGCCCAAAATAGTTCCACATGAAAGGGCTGTGCGGTCTGTCTTTGTTTTGACTAGCCAAAACATGCAAAATCCCAGGGTTAAGGCATTCGTGACTTAGTTCGGCATAATCCCCTCGTTCGTATACCGATTCTCAGAAACTACCATTTCGTTTGGTTGGATTTTCACAAACTTCCATGAGGTTGGATGTTTTAATGGTGTTCGTGCCTTCGAGTGTCCGATTTGGGTTCCAGACACTCGACGACCAAACACCGCTGGTGTCATTCGTATGCCAAGATGGCCGCCGCCACATGTTCGTCTATACGAATGACGGCCACCCTGAAGTTTACACAGGGGTTCGGGCATTTGCAGTTAAGTAGGTATGCTGAAGGTTAACGGGGTCAATTGGTGCCACACTCCACTCCTGGGTGGCCGGGTTGTTAGGTACTTTGTTTGTTTTGACGAACCATATAGGTGAATCCAATATAACTGATGTTAATACCGAACAAAAAAACGAAATAACATAGGAACACAGTGTTACATTAGAGCGATACAAGTTAACAGAATAAACATACACACACAGTGGTATGGACAGCCTCTAGTACCAAAACGGGATACTGACCTATAGCCCATTTTACTACACTTTCCATGTATAAATATTTTTTTAATGCATTATGTAATTGCCCTGATACTTATTAGATTAATCATGTTGTCTGAATTTTCATAATGCATTTACTGTTAGGAATGGGTATACATTGTACCACTGTTTTTTATTTTGTTTGCTCACTATGATTTTTATGTTACCAGACATCTCCAATTTACACTCTAATTCCACCTGATCTGAAAGATGCCTACACAAAGTCAAAGAACTTGGAACGAGCAATTGAAGATTACCTTGAGGAAAACAGTGTGTGCAAATGCCAGCCTTGTCAAAATGGTGGCACAGTAATTGTGTTAGATGGCGAATGTGTTTGTAAATGCCAAAGACATTATACTGGAGTGGCATGCCAGACACCAAAATCTGATATTTTACCTAGTAAGTAATTTGCAACCATTTTATTGTATATTAATGTGTACAGGTTGTATGTTTATTTATACATAGCACACAGATGGCACTCCCTGCCCACTCCCAATATAACAATTGATGCACTGCACTGCCTTTTTGACACAAAACTCTGAGATTCTTTTCACTCCAAACTGCAATTCGGGCGGACTCACGCTGATTGGGTGATCAGCAGAGCATGGGCAAGGATTTCTGGCTACACAGGCACAGATGCATTTTGCTGCCACCCCCAACCACCAAAAAAATGTTCCTTTGTGTTTCTTATTCCCTTTTTTGAATGTTGACCCCCTTTAGTGTACCATATGCCACATTTTTCTCCTTTGTGTGTTTTACACTCCCTTGTGTGTTACTTTTACACCCCCTTGTGTGTCTCTTACTGGCTTTTAGCCACTCTGTGTGTCTCTTACTCTCATCAGCCCTTTTGTGTGTCTCATGCTTACTCCCAGTCACTTTGTGTGTCTTTTACTCCCCCTGACACAATTGTATGTCTCTTTTTCCACCAAATTCCTTCGTGTGTCTTTTTCTCCCCTTATCCCCTTTGTATGTCTCTTTCTCTCCACAGCCTCTTCGTGTGTTCCTTTCTCATCCCCAGCCATTTTATGTGTCTCTTTCTCCCCCCACGTACCATATATGTCTATTTCTCTCTGACCCCACATCCCTTTGTAGATTCTTCCTCAGCTTACATCTAATTTGTAGCGTGGCCATGTGGACTGATGTAGAGGGTCTTCTGTATTCTCTACCCGGTCTGACAGGAAGCTGTTTGTTGCTCATAACGAGCAGCTTCCTATTAAAATAGACAGAGGATACAGAAGATCTCTTGCTAGGGTCTGCACAGTCATACTACATGAAGTGATTGGCAGGAGGGGGAGTACTGTGTATTCTTCTCCTGAGTGTCACCCGGAAGTTGCGGCTCCCGGGCCAGTGCACCTTAAGGGAGTTGCATGTGTAGCTTTATGGTTACGCTAGCACTGGTGATCAGGGGTTCAGATTTCAGAGCCACAACATTATTATTATTATTTTATTATTTATATAGCGCCAGCAAAGTCCATAGCTGCCAATTGGCTGCCAGAACATTGGGGAAACCAATTCACCCAGTAGTGTGTAGTGTAGTGTGACTAAATGGTGTTTTACCATCAGCTGCTACCAACTGTGTCCACAGAGGTAGGAGGGGCTGTAAGCAAAGCTGGGAGAAACCACTACACTGAAAGGCATTTGAAAAAATGGGGATCAGCTGCAGTATGAGTAATTTAATTTGATAACGTCTATTTTTTTTTTTTAAATCCCCCTTTTTTTCAATTAAATGACTTTTGTTTTTGCTTTAAAAAAAATAAAAAAAATGGAGGGGCTGTCTCTGAAGCTTAAAACAGGAAAGTTTTGTTTCTGTCAGGGTGGAAGGGGTTATAGGGTGGTCAATTGCTTTTGACTTTTTTTTCTTTAATGTTTGGATAAATCACTTATTTTCACCTTAAAATGTCCCCTGTTTTCAATTTTTCATTAATACAAGATAGCAAAATTAAAAAGATTAAATCCTATCATTAAAAAAACTTGCATGAATTGTTTGTCAGCACAGTTGTAGACAGCATTTTTCCTGCTGTTCTGGCTGTTCAAATAGCTTTCCTTTTTTTTTTGAGATACTGAAATTTGTCAGAGCAAATTTTTTAAACCCACAGTTTATGGGGGTTTTTTGAGTTCCAGAAGAATCAAAATGGTCCAGGCATAGATACAAAAGTAATCCACCACAGGCCAACAAATGTACCAACTTCTAGATGTGTCTTTTGACCTCCTGTAAAAGTACAACCATCTATATTGTTATTTCAGAGCAACCTGGTGGACGATATAAAAAGATTAAAAGCTCACACAAATGTGTGTTGTTGGAATGATATCATTTTTATTTAGAGTTTGTGTTGGTAAGATAGTCACATCTACACTAGATGAATACAGATCCAAATTCACACTAAAATGAAATAAAACTTTCATTTATTTACTCTTTATCAGTTCACATGCAAAAACGGTTGTGTTTCATGGAATATTTCACTGTAGTCCTTTTTTTTTTTGTGAAATGCAATAATTTGTTTCCACAGATTCAAAACCTCAGGTGGATGGGAGATGGAGTTGTTGGTCTCCTTCATCTTGCAAAAATGGAGAAATAACTCTAACACGTCAATGCAATAACCCTGCTGCGCAAAATGGGGGTCACTCATGCCATGGAGAAAACAGAAAATCCGTGCCATGTTGATTAACATGAATTTCTCTCTATAAGCAAGCTTCAAGGGACAGAGCACTAAGTATGTGACTAAGAACATAAAATATTGCAAGGATTAATAAAATGAACAGCAAAATAATTGACTACATCTTGTCAATAAACTTAACATCTTAAATTGCAACCTCTCCGAATAAAAGAAAATAAATGAAATATTGTTTTTGACTTGTGAAATAAAGACCATATCTGCGACAATTAGTGATGAAGACAGAAATAATACATATCTGGGACAATTAGTGGTGAAGACAGAGCAAGCATCCTCTCATTGACCATATTATGTATATTATGAGGCGCTCATAAGGTAGCAGATGCTTCTTGGTAACACAATCATTGAACATGGCTTGCCTTAGTTACGTTCCTAAAATTGAACACATTTGGTATTTTTTTTTTTCATTCTGTATCCAGAATAGGTTAAGTAAGACTTATCTTATGTAGGTACTTGCATTCCACCATGGAAGGGACATTTTAAAAGGAAAAAAAAACACAACACATTTATTAAACAATTGAGTCGATATACCCCCAATGAAAACGTGCATGCATTAAATTATCCATTTTTTAATTGGTGTTATATCTAAAGACAGCTTGTAAAAAATGTAGATCTCTTTTCTGGAGTCTTTGCAAGCCCTTCTATCTCCGCCCAGACTTTCTGTGGTTGTCCAATCGCAGACTTCCCAATGCAGCTCAATGAGAAATATAGGATGAGTCCTTGTAACGGATCGCCTGGCACCCCGACTGGGTACCTCCGTTGAAAGATGCTCCTAGCACTTCCTGAGGACTCCAAGCACTGCAGCAGACACCACAACCACCGAACCGGAGAAGCATATGAATCCTCTCAAGCATATGAATGCTGTAGACAGTTGAATAGGAACCATACGAATAGGTTTACTCTCCTAGCAGTCAAACTGGAACAGCATACAATAAATCCTTCCCCCAATAATGAGACGACACTTCACTTTGAGGGTTAAAAACAGGAACTCTCTGGCTGCTAGCTTGCAGCCCTTTTTATTAGGTGCTCCCATGAAGGGGAGGGACACACACAGTAACGTACATTAACCAATCACACAATAGTTACATCCCACACATAGCCCTCCCCTCTACCTGTAAACTAATTATCTGTACACACAGGGAAATACAATTATCATAGGTAGGGAAAATACAGTTTTTACACAACATTCATAACTCCCAAAATATACATCACATTCGCATAAAAATACATATTCACAATCAATCCATTCAGGGGAACAACATATTAAAAAATGGCATTAATCAGACCAGGGGTTCAAAAGTTAGTAAAAGTATCTTTTGTTCCCCCTGGCTCAAACAGTAAAAGTAAAACATCCCCACAATGCATCCTGGCTTCCTCCCTTCTGCCCTGGAGATAATTGGAGAAGGAATCTAATTATCTCCAAAGACAGAGCCAAACTCCATTACCCACATGGCAGACAAAAAGACAGTAAAAGACATAAAATTACATACTGACACATTTAGTACATAAAACACACATTTCTACATATCCCCAGATAGCTTGGATCTGACTGCACATTATTAGATGAATGGCACTCAGATCACACGAATAAGCCTTTCTGCAGGGAAAATAAACAGTTTAACCTGCAGGGCCATAGTCCAAAGGCAAGAGGCGGGCAAGCAGCCCCCTCCAAGGACACGTGGCGAGGTCGGTTTTGCCACACTTCTCCCCTTTGCCCCCCAGACTAACAGGGTATCTGACCTCCTGCCGGTCAGTGCCCTGGTTAGTCCAGCAACCCACCCACGAAGCACAAACAGCAGTACAGCCCACCCACAATAAATGTTTACTCCACCTGGATAAAGTAGCAACTTGTCCATGTCCAGTGTGGGGAGCTGGTAGACTGCCTTGGTGGGTTGCTGAGTGGGCAGAGACCAGCGGTACTCTGCCCTGGTGCCAGTGCTACCACCGAAGTAGCCTGATTGGAGCCTGGTTGTGGGAGGGGGAGACCGACCGTCTCCCCTCTGGGTACACAGCTCTGGGGCTGGGGAACAGGACCGACCGTCTCTACCCCTTGGGCTGTAAGCGCAGAGACTACGGTCCCATCTGCACAGTTGCGGGGCTCAACATCTCCCCTTGGTGGGTTAGGCTGCCGCTGGAGAGAGGGTGTAACAAGCTCCTCTCTCTGGACTGTCAACTGCCGCTGGGGAGAGGGGTTAACAGGCTCCTCTCCCTGACACTCTCTCTGCTGGTGGAGAGGCGGACCAGCTGTCTCCCCTTTCATTATTTTGTCCTGCTGCTGGGGTGTGAGACTGACGGTCTCTGCTCCCTGCAGGACACACTGCCGCTGGGGAGGAAGGGCGACACCTTCAGCTCCCTGGGGTACACACTGCCGCTGGGGAGGAAGGACGACACCTTCGGCTCCCTGGGTTACACACTGCTGCTGGGGAGGACGGACGACACCATCAGCTCCCTGGGGTACGCACTGCAGCTGGGGAGGAAGGACGGCACCTTCCGCTGGGGCAGCCTGTAGAAAGTCAGGCTCAGGGGAAGGAAACAAGGGAGGACAGAGGCCAGCGGCGCTCTGCCCAGTTGCCAGCTCTTCTGCTGGGGGGTCAGGGAACAAAGGAGTTGGCTGGGGAGGAGAAATATCACTTACCTCCCCCTGGTACTCCGGCTGCTGCTGGGGGAGGAGGTCGATGCTCTCCACTTTCTGTAACTCCAGCTCTAGTTGGGGATCTGGGCCGGTTGCCCAGCATCCCTGTAGGGCCGGTGGAGAGATCTCGGTCCCATCTCCACCTGCCTGCAGGGGTCCTCCCAGGACCAGTCTATGAGGTCCTCTACCTCGGGTACCTCTGGTTGCTGTTGGGGAGGGAGACCGGTTGTCTCTTCCTCCAATAACACATTCTGCCGCTGGGGAGTGAGACCGACTGTCTCCCCTCCCTGTAAAACATACTGCCGCTGGGGATCTGGGCCGGGTGCCCAGCATCCCTGTAGGGCCGGTAGAGAGACCTCGGTCCCATCTCCACCGGCCACCTCGGTTTCTTCCTCGTCCCACTCTACCTGTGGCTGGAGTTTCTCCCAACGTGCCCACTGGCCTTCCCTCAACGCCCTGTGTTGTAGGTTCCGGGTCACCATGTCCCACACGAACCGCACGTATTTCTCCTCTGGATTGGGTCCGTAAAACTTCAGGTGCAACCCTACCATCGTGCCAAACTCTAGTACGGAGTAGCTATACGCCATGCTTGCTGTAGCCACTGCTGGTTCCATTATGTTGCTGAAGATAAGGACGCTGCACAACTCCACACGTTACCGGTGTCTCCGAGCTGCTTCTCCTCGCACTAGGATGCCATCCCACCGCTGCCACCAATGTAACGGATCACCTGGCACCCCGACTGGGTACCTCCGTTGAAAGATGCTCCTAGCGCTTCCTGAGGACTCCAAGCACTGCAGCAGACACCACAACCACCGAACCGGAGAAGCATATGAATCCTCTCAAGCATATGAATGCTGTAGACAGTTGAATAGGAACCATACGAATAGGTTTACTCTCCTAGCAGTCAAACTGGAACAGCATACCATAAATCCTTCCCCCAATAATGAGACGACACTTCACTTTGAGGGTTAAAACAGGAACTCTCTGGCTGCTAGCTTGCAGCCCTTTTTATTAGGTGCTCCCATGAAGGGGAGGGACACACACAGTAACATACATTAACCAATCACACAATAGTTACATCCCACACATAGCCCTCCCCTCTACCTGTAAACTAATTATCTGTACACACAGGAAAATACAATTATCATAGGTAGGGAAAATACAGTTTTTACACAGCATTCATAACTCCCAAAATAT